GGACGGAGTTTGATCTAAGCAGGGGAGGATGTGATATTAATTAATATATGTGATTTTGATTAAGTCTATGAGGGTGCGCAGAGGATATTGGTAGATGTCATCAGCATGTATGTAACCATGTAGATTCTTACGTTCCTTCATAGCTTAGGTAGGATTATAAAAGGGGCCAGAATCCCTCGATATCAGCGGGACATGTACGGGGCGGCCTTTGGCCTACCCCCTACCCTTGCACGATTCGAAGGCTCTACGCCCCCTGCGATCAACAATTATCTCACTAGGAAGCCATCTCCTAGATTTATATTACTTTAGACACTAAGGCAAATCAGAACTGTGCAGAGGCAGCTCTCCTAAATAAGTAACTTATTAAGAGCCAGAGTAAGACTAATAACCTTAAGTGCTAGAATAAACAGATCTATTAGGAGCATGAATAGATCCAGACCTAGCTTATCACTGCTAACCTTAAATATGATAAGGCCTGAGAGAAGCTTAAAGAGGTAATCTATAAATAAAATAACTTTACTCTATAGGTAGCCTATAGATCTAGCATTAGAAATACTAATTCCTAGGTAGACTGGTCGTGGATTGGGTTTGGATGGATCCGCAAGGGGTTCAATCCAACCCATGTGGGTTATGGGTTAACCCATGACATCGGTAACCCGCCTTGAAATCCATGCGGGTTGGATTGCGGATACCTATTTTACCCATATCATGCACGTGATTCCAGTCTATACTACTTTTGGTAGGCGGCGAGATCTCTCATTAAGAGAATATTACAGATAATCCATAACCCAAAAGTCCACAAACCCATTAATATTACCAAGTGACTGGCATGGCGGGATATTATATTTCAAAATTTTGAAATCTCATTATTACTTTTCACTTATTGATTCATGCGGCCTTTACTTATTATAATATTTACTATGATACTATCTTTATTTTCATTATTTTTATCTGATTAAGAGAGTACAGCCTATGTGCACACGTAGGTTCATTAGATATTAGGGTAACTAGTGGGACTGTGGGAATGTGGGATAATTGTTCATCACAGTGGGAATAGAGCCTTCAAATTATGTGAGGGTAGGGAGTAGGCTAGCAGCTGCCCTATAGCATGCCTCATTAATATTGAGGTGTTCAAGCAAATCAAGCTCCCTTTTATATCTCTACCTAAGCTATGAATAAATATAAAGATCTAAATAGTTACATATATAATAATAAGTTAATGACAACTAATGGATATCTTCTACACACTTCATACACTTTCTTGAAGCCATATGCATACCTGTCGATATCACACTGGTAAGGCAACAATGCAACTGAAGGCCATAGCCTACCTTACTGCTACTCCATAATGTATCCTAGGAAATACTATTATATTTATTAGGGAAAGGAAGGATTAATACCTGAGAAGTATCATTAGTCTAGTGGTAAAGTTCTTTTTATTATTAATAAGGCACACGTTCAATTCTTAGATCATATAATTACTATTTTTTTTACCTTCCTTAACTATGCTTCCTTAACATAAGTATAATTCTTTAATTTAGCATTCCACCACATAATACGATGGTCTGAAGGATACAGAACTTAGAAAAGAGAAGTAATATGCTCTATAAGAACACCCTTTTTTAGGATAATGAACTGTCTAAAAATTATCAATATATATTTCAGAGAGAGTGTAATGTTTACTATTACTATAAGGGTGTACCAAAATATATATAGCTACCTGGACGATAATGCAAATATTTATGCGTATATAAAAAGTAGTCAAACCAAAGGCCTCATAAAGCAGAAAACAGAATGTATTAATAAAAGTTATACTCAAAGCTCTCAATCTCTCAATGAGAGATTCAATACATCCTGCTATCCAGATTCCAGAGTAGCTTAGTAGTTAACAAATATAACCTCATCATATTATTAATGATTCAATGCACCCATTCCTAATAACTATACTCTCATTAAGAGATATTACTAAGCAGTCACGTGACCATAAGAATATAAACTTCCTTTATTTATTCACTTATTTAATGAGTCGAGTACAATATGAAGAAAATTCTATTCTCTATTGACAATATTCACTATTGGATATCATCAACAGGGAGATTAGATAATACTAGTATTAAATATATTAATCAGAATGCTCCATAGCCTTGCAGAACCTCATCTTCTGTTTATTCATAGATTTCATGAACTTTAACTTTCTTAGATCTCTCAACCCTAATATTGTTTATTAGCTACTTCCTCCTTTACTACAAAAGAATATCCTCATCCAGCCTAGATCTCTCATTGAGAGATTTTCATTCATTAATTACCATCCACCCCATCTCAAACTCTCTCATTGAGAGATTCTTATTTATTGATTACCATCCACCCCGTCTCAAACTCTCTCATTAAGAGATTCTCATTCATTATTTACTATCCACCACGTCTCAATCTCTTATTAAAAGATTTTCATTTATTAACTGCCCCTATAATGTGTCTTAATCTCTCATTAAGAGATTTTCATTCATCAAGATGCCTAGGGGAAAGAAGAATTCTTAGAAGAGCAAAGCTACTGGCCCAGAAGTTACTAAAGTTAAAATACTAACTAAGGATGCCATCACAGCAAATCTCAAAAAGTGTTTCCTCAGAACCATTATATTTAATGTCAGACATCTTAACACAAGTTGGAAGAGAGGACAGAATCAAACTATCAGTTAAAAGCATGTAAACAACCTGAAGGAAGACTTCAAGACCAATATCAGACAATTTATGATCAAAGACCAGCTATGGGTGACCCTCCCGAGGGGAAGTTTTAAAGAATATATTAAGTAGGTTTTCTGAAAGACTAATAATCAAAAGGACCTAACCCAAGTAGAGCTAGATAAGCTCATAAAAACTACACAACTCTGGATAACTCCCACCATCATTATGGATCACCCAGTGGCAGGAATCCTACTACTAACACTCCAAGCTGGCCAACACCGGCGTGCCGCCCTACTAAGTCTATGCAAAGATATTACTAAAGCAGCACTAGCAGGAGCAGTTAACCACAAGGGGGACCCAGTCCACACCCTAGATGGCCAGGTATGGAATCTCCCAATGAGAGATTTCTATTGCAACTAGCTAACATAGTGTAGGCTTACCTATGGGCATGCAATATATAGGATGAGGACAAACTCAATGAGTCATCATTACACAGACTACAAGCTAATCAAGAGCGCATCTTTAAGACGAATACAAATAGAGAGTTAATACATGCAGTTATTAAGATGATTAAAGATATACCTACAGATAACCCAGTTCATGAACTTCAGCCTCATTTATTTAAAAGATGGGTTAAGCCTATTTTTAGTCCTTCATTAAATAATACTGCAAGACTACTAGCTCTGCTTCGCCATAACTAGTTTCAAGAACATATCAAGTTCTTCACTACAACAAGATACAGGCAGTACAGCACTTCACTTAGATGCATCTCATCAATAATTTATCTCAAACTAGACTTTATAAGTGCGGGTCAAAAGAATTACATAGTAAGTGGATACTAATTCTCTTAATAATAGATTTATATACCATATTTTAAAACTTTCCAGTCACTTTACAATAATATCTTTGGAGATGCGCCCCACTTGGTCAGTCTAGATGACTGGAACAGAATTATAAAGGTTAAAAGGAGGCAAAACCGCTAGCTAATGTAGCAATAAATGCTCTTCTTTCTTAAAAAAGAAGACTTTCAGGGACATAATATCTCTAACTTCCTTCAGCTTCTATTAGGTGTCAATAATAACCTAGATGAATGGCCACTCCTTAGAGAGCCCATAATAATTCAGTCATATACATATAAATATTAGCGCCCTCAGTTTCTAGTGGAACTAGATAATAAGCAATACATCCATGCTTATAAGAGATTTGTTAAGAGCAGAAAGCACTTCTAAGAATGGTAAATCTCTCATTATTAGATTCAGAAATATGCTAATAAAACTATAGGTCAGTTCTTATAGAGAAAAGTAAAGTTAGAGCAGTCATCAAAGAAATCCTTATTCATATTATCTTTTAGGTAAATAAGGCATTTATGTTTCCCGCTGCAGCTTTAAAGGAGTTCAAAGTATTTATGTGGGACACCACAATTATCTAAGAGCTCTTTAAGAACTCTACTCTTGCCCTGGGTAATATAAGGCCATTTAATAATAGTGATAACCTGCTTCAGCACTCAAGGCAGCTCATACAGAAGGTTTATACCACTATAGATAGCAACCCACTATAGGAGAATCCCACCACAAAGCTGGTAAGACCAATATCTCTTAATAATAGATTTTAATTAACTGTTATATTAGACTAAGGTGCCTCTAAAGAAGCTCTAGAATAACAAACCAGTCCTTCCATCTATCTCTATGCAAAGCCAGAAAAAAGCATATGAGGAAAGTCTAGAGAAGTATAACTTAGAGGCAGCTATTTACCTATAATGGTTCAAGCATCAGAACTAGGCAAGGCTCTTAATAACTGTAATTAAGTTTGCTAGGCCATGTTTTAATAGAGTGATGGCACAGCTTAACAGTAAAGAGACAAGGGTATACTACTTAAATCTCCCAATGAGAGATACTTACTAATATCTACAAGGAGAAGGAGATCATCACTATTAGGGATAGTAATTAGGGCTTCCTCATTGCAGATACTAATGTCAAAGGCAACACAACCTTAAGGAAAACTCTGGTATTAGATACCAAAAGGTTTAAAGACATCATGGTCAAAGAGGGCAAAATATTTGGTGCCATGATATAATACCACACATTAAAGTACGCCATAGTGAACACACTAGAGCATGGCATGAACCCTATTAGTACTGGTGAGGTTAACATCATTTGGTTGAAAGTATGTTACAGAATCTCCTAATAAGAGAATTATCTAATTTTAACTAGGATGAATATGATGAGGCCTAGGATGTTCTTAAAGAGCTTACCTTAACTCTTAAGCATGCTAGGTAGAGCCTATAGACAGACTATCTTAATAAAGACCTTAACCAATACACCATGTATATTAGTAAAAAACCTTCTAATCACTCTACACCAGCAGTCCCTGGCTTTCTTACAGCAGAACTAACAGAGTACAATTCTATAATTAATAAGATGACTGCTCTTAAAAAAGCTAATATAAAGTCTGTAAAGGAGAATATAGTGAAGAGAAAGACTACCTTAGCAAATAGTATATAATGCAATTTACTAGTTAAATTCTCTCATTAAGAGAATTTAGTGGATTAACTAACCTCACTTAGATCCAGCAGGCAAACAACCTAAGCACAATTCAGCTGCCACAAGTTCTGCTACTAGTGGTTCAGGCACTGGTGGTTCTAGTAGTGGTGCTAGTGGTGCTGGTGGTGCTGGTAGTAGTGTGGGTGGTTCTGCTAGTAGTAGCTCTGCTGCTGCTGGCCCATCTTAATTACTGCCAAAAAAATTTTATTAAACCTTTCATAGGGATTCTCTGGTGTTAAGTCAATTTTAGGGGTTTCAGGTAATTTGCTATTCTTTAAGTATGTAATCTCTCATTAGGAGATTTAAGGATTAGCAGGAGTTAGTTATTTAGTACATGGGATAAGGAACCCACTTATTCAAACTTTTACTAAGTAACCCTTTACTTCATTCTATTATCCTCATTCTAGTCTCTTACAATCCCTAATCATTCCTTTATTAAATTTAAAAATGCTCTTCTCTACTCCATCACTATCTACAGATGCTCTTCAAGAATTTAATATACAGTTAGATATATAATCTTTATTTAAGGCCCAAACCTGCTAATCTATAATTAGGCCAAGTTCTTCTATCTCTCAGTTAATTCCTAATAATACTTCTGAGGCTACACCTACTAAGATTATAGCCTTTTCCTCTAGTCAATCTCCTCAGATCCCTTCTATGCTTGAGCAAGCCCCTGGCAGCAAATAATATTATTAAGTGGTCTTTTATCTCATAAATACTGAGCTGCATGTAGACTTCTATAGTTGGTGGAATAAGACACCTTATGCAAAAGATTGCAAAGTAAAGGATATTAAGCTAAAATGGTCAGGAGGGTGAGTATAAGTATAGAATTATTTTACAGAGGTTGCAAGTGTTCCTTCTAGTGATCCCTTACTTCATTGCTTAACTCCTAGTTATAGAGCTCTATTCGCCCATCCAAACTTTCCTAAGCAAAATAGAACAACTAATCTACACTATCATTTAAAGAGGCATAAAGGTTTTCAAGATAATAGATAATCAGAAGGAAGTCTATAATAATATATTATTACTAAGGTTTGCTCCTTAATCTCTCATCTTAGACTCTGTATTAATTATTAGGATTGCACCTATTCCCTAGAATAATTTATTAACCAGCTCCTTTGATTTATTATTGCTTATCAGCTCCCCTTTCACACAGTTAAACATGTCTAATTTGCATGCATGATTTAAATGATTAATCTAGATATACAAATTCCCTCCTGTGAAACTCTTAAGGAGCGTCTCTAGGAACTTGCTATTATCAGTCATTCTGAACTTATTGCCAAACTCTCTCTAAATGGTAAAATCTCCTTAGCTCTTAACTACTGGATAAGTCCAGATTCTAAGCCCTTTCTTACTATTACTGCTTACTTTATTAATGAAAGCTTTAAATTTCAGGAAATGCTCCTTGGGTTTCATCCAATTAAGGGTGAGCATACAGGAAGCAATCTTGCAAGTATAGTTCTAAATATTCTTTCTCTTCATAATCTTCACTCTCGTGTTCTTGCTATTACCACAGATAATACAAGTAATAATAGGAAGATGATACAAGAGTTAGGAATTAAACTATAGAAAGGGTTGCAACTTAATTCTTTTTAATAGACTACATTTGATCTATAACTTCATGGTGTACTCTATAAGTATACCTAGTCAACTTCAAGTTTAACAAGAGAGATTATTGATAAGATTTAATATATACCTTGCCTTGCTCATGTTCTTCAACTTACAGTGAAGGCTTTCCTAACTCAGTTAAATATTGAATTAGAGGATGATCAGATTACAAAGACTTGGATAGAGGGTGATCAGCAGCTACATAATCCACCTGGCCTAAAGCAATCTCTTAAGAAGGTTTGACATCCTTAATCTCTCATTGCTAGATTTCTAACAAGCTTCTCTCTATAGATACAGAAGATTGTTAAGTTTGTGAATGCAAGTCCTCAACACTAATAGAAGTTCATTCAGATCTAATATACTAAGGGTTGTACAAAGACAACCTACCTTCTCCTACAAGATTGCAAGACACAATGGAATTCAACATACTTGATACTTTATCAGGCAGTGAAACTCCAGAGTGAGGTGAAGATCTTTGTGGATATATAGACTGCGCATAATATTAAGCATCTTCAACTCTTAGATTTTGAGTAGAAGCATCTTGAATATCTAATTAAACTTCTCTATCCCTTCTTTACCTTCATAATGAACCTTTCAACATCAGGACCTAGTGTACATGATGTATACACTATCTATAATGTGTTATTTAATCATCTTGAAGATATAACTGGAAGGATGGAGAAGAAGAAGGCTCCCTAGAAAAAGCATCTTATTAAGGCCCTGCAAGCAGCCTATAATAAGTTGAAGAAGTACTACAGCTGTACTTATAAGGCAGAAGGGTATATTTATGTAATTACAACAATTCTTAATCCATCCTAGAAGCTATCTATCTTTCAGAAAGGCTCCTGGGCAGAGGATGAGATTAACTAGTATAAGAAGTACTCTATAACTTTTTATAAACTATTTCAGTACTATAGCATCCTACACCCTAATGCTACTACCCCTTCTATCCTGCCAAAGCAGAAAGAAGGCCTACAGTGGGCTATCTTTGAGATCCAGAAACAAAAACAAAAACAGGTATCTTAGTCAGGTCAACTCTATCCAGAGTTAGAGACCTATCTTTAAGAAGGTATGATTTATTCCTCTTACTACTATTATATCTAATATGAAGAGATTAGGCACTGAGGTCCCAGAGAGCCTTAACATTCTGGATTAGTGGTGACAGAATGCCAGATAATTTCCAATTCTAAGTTAGATGGCATCTAACTTTCTTGCTATCCCATCCAGTGGTGTTGGTGTTGAATGACTCTTTAATAGTGCTTATGATGTTTGTCATTACCATCAAGCACATTTACATATGGCTACTATTGAAGCAATTATAATATAGATGTGCACTGATTGGTTTGCTATTGCTCAAGACTATGCTGAGTTAAATAATATCTCTGAGTCAGAGCAACTACTTAAGAAATGGGATCTGCATTACTATCATGATCAGTCAGCAGGTGAGGTTGATGATGTGATGAGCGCAGCATATATTAGTGATCATGAGGATATTAATATCCTTAATGAGATGGATACTACTACTGAGTCTATAGAGCAGTCAGAGCCTATCTTACCTCAGCCTTCTGCACCTGCATTACCTGAGTCTCAAGCACCCTCAGCCTCATGTTACCTCCGTAATAGTGCACATAAGCCTGGACATTATCGTGAACTAGCTGGCATGTAAAGAAAGACAGAACAATGTACTTAAACCTGAAATCTCTCAATGATAGAATGTCTATGCTTAAGGACTATAATTATAAAATCTCTTAAAGTTTATACCTTCCTTATTCTTACTTCTAAGAGACATACAAATAATTGGGTCTGGAGATGGGTTGGATAAACCATGAAATCCATATACCCAGATAATTCTGCCAGTCACATGCACCCAATGGGTTACCCATATCCATATGGGCTGGATGCCGTCCACCCACATCCATGTGGGTTGGATCAGGGTCGACCCCCATCCAACCCAAAGTGCGGATTGGGTGGGTTGGATATGGATTTGCGGATTGGGTCAGCCAGTCTATTCCTAGGCTTTAGCTACTAGTAGTAAGTTAGTAAAGATCCCAGACCCTCCTCTCCTTAGTAATAGAAAGGATCCTTATTTTAAAGATTAGTTACTAACTATTAAGTAGAAGCTTATTACTAATACTAACCACTTCCCTAACCCTATGATGAGGATCACCTATATGACTAGTTATACTAAGGGCAACACCTAGAAGCACATTACCCCTTATCTGTGAGAAGATACTGTTAACCTATACTAGGACTCTACTGACCTCCTTAAGCACCTAGAAAATATATTTATGGACCCTAATTATGAGTGAGTTGCTAAGCAGAAATATAACACCCTCTATATAAAGCTATTAGTTAAATGGAATAACTTTATTTCTAAGTTCCTATACCTTATGGCAGAAGCAAGCATCCCTAAGGAGACCTAGAAAGATGACCTGTATAATAAACTATCTCTCTATATATAAGAGCTCACTATACCTACATATAATAATAATAATAAGACCTTCTAGGAGTTCATGGACTACTGTAGCCATATAGTAATAAATATTAAGAATATAGAGAGAATTAAGACTTATTTAAATAGTGGTGCTAATACTTAAACCAGAGGGACTAGAGTAATATCTTATACTACTACCCCAGCTATAGCTACTTCCTCTATAGATAATGCTACTACTTATAGCTGTACTACTACAGCTTCCCTAGCTCCTAGCAACCTTGATAATAAGACTAGGAAGTATCTTATAAGTAAGGGCAAATGCTTTACATGCTTTTAGGTTAGGCATACTAGCTATAGCTGCCCTATAAAGCAGGCTGCGCAGCTTAAAGTATTAGAACAGCCTGTTAAGCCTACTCCTAAACCAGAAAATAAGGATGCCTAGGAGAAGTCTCCTTCTTAGGTGTAAAATTAGTTAACTTATGTAACTTAGACTTACAGAATCTATTAGGTGATGAAGAAGATAGTTTTAAATTAAAATCTCTTATCCTTATTAATAGATTCTTAGTATCTACAAGCTCCCTAGTTAATACTAGAGTAAATGTGTATGTGTGTATGACTACTTCCTTAGCTATCTAGATATCTTAATATTTCAGAATACCTACTGTGCCCCTAGAAAGGGAGTATATGGTTATAGGGTTTAATGGAAAGCAGTCTATTCCCCTTACCTATATTATTATATTAACTATAGCCACAGATAATTATATTATAAGATAGATGCCATTTCTTATACTAGACCTGGGATGCCATGATATTATACTAGGAAGGATATAGCTTGCGGAACACCATATACTAGTAGATTGCATAGAGAAATGGTTAATCTGGTCTTCACCACCCGCCTACTAAGATAAGATAGCTATATAGATGAACTGGGAGGTCCCTTATAACTTCCTAATTAGGCAACCCATTAACCAAGATTACTAATATAATGTGGTGCGCTGCACTAGGTGATGGGTAGGGTATAAAAGGGATATCTTCCCTCCCTTAGCTCCATCTTCTCTTCTCTCCCTAACCACCCCTGGCCCTGTAGTTCTTTCTAGGGCAGTAACTAAGCCCTTAAATACATATAGCTTAATAGGAGAACTACA